ATGATCAAAATTTTGCAAAACCCGAGGAATTCCTTCCTATTCGTTTTTATCACCGCAGTGCTCGAAAGAGGTTTTTGAAAAACTTAGGTTAATGCAATGAGCTTGGCGCGCAGGAGAGCAGGCGAGATGTACTGTCAGCCCATTGAAATCCTCTGGCACTTATACTGAAAGCAAGCATGGAAGTGAGATAGCAACAGCTGTTTCATTCAGATTTGTTGGTGTAATTGGCCTCTCGGCAGAAACAGACTCAAAAACAAAAACAGGTAATTACAAGACAAAATGGTGTTCGGGACAACAACCCCAAAATCACCTGGTATTCTATACAAACTCTAACTTTTGCCTGGGCCGCCCTTCCGGGTTTTCGGCCCAGCGAGCCTCTCAAAGGGTAAAAGTGTAACAAGTCCATGCCAAATGGTTTTTGGAGTTGAAGCCTCTCTGTATCTAGGAGAACGTCTGTTGCAATGATTTGCAGAAGAATCCGTCATGGCTGCTCCACAAGCTTCTTCTGGTGAGATCTGATCCTCTTGGCTCGCCTTCGGTGCTTCTTGCTCGAGGGCTGCTTCAAAACTGGCCATACGGGCCTCCTCCGACAGTTGACTGTTGGATGTTCCGAATGAGTTCGACGTTCAAAACAAATAAGTCAAATCTTGAAGCTGAGAGCGATCCTAGGCTGCACAATCTCAAGAGCGATCCCACACAGGTCTTCATAGGGCCGCGTAAAACATTTGTTTTTGAAAGTTTTTAAGAAAGCGACAAATTGCTCGCACCGAAGACAGTGTGGAACCAATCTGGATCAAGCCAGGGTCCTTTCCAGTACTCACGCTGACAAGCATGATTTCATTCGTTAAGGGCTTAGCATGCCTCTCTTTCTCTCAAAATGATCAAAATTTTGCAAAACCCGAGGAATTCCCTCATCTTCGTTTTTATCACCGCAGTGTTCAAAAGGGTTTTTTTGAAAAACTTAGGTCAATGCAATGAGTTTGGCGCGCAGGAGAGCAAGCGAGATGTACTGTCAGTCCATTCAAATCCTCTGGCACTTATACTGAAAGCAAGCATGAAAGTGAGATAGCAACAGCTGTTTCATTCAGATTTGTTGGTGTAACTGGCCCCTTGATAGAAATAGACTCAAAAACAAAAATAGGTAATTACAAGACAAAACGGTGTTCGGGACAACAACCCCAGAATCACCTAGTATTCTATACAAAGAGGACTGACTCATTACAACAAGACGGACCCTTAAGCAAAAAAAGACTGACTCAAGACAAAGAGACAGACTCAAAACAAAAGACTGACTCGATACCTAAGCCAGGATTTACAAAGCTAGCGTTCATAGCCACTCAAAAATGCGTGCCAGACGCCACATTCAAAATACATCTAGATGCCGCCCGCAGGTGGTTCACTTTCTGATTACATACTTGCAGTATCTGTATCCTCAAAATCCAATGACTGGGTGGTAACGGACTTGGCTGCGGTGGGCGGGAGGATAACCTCGTTGTCAATCAAATCTTGGACCTCATGACGGAGGCGGAAGCAATTGTCGGTAGCATGGCCTGTCTGCTGGTGGTACGCGCAGTACTGAGCAGCATCGTGCGTGGCAGGGAGATTCTTCGGGAGAGGCCGAGGCTCCAAAGGTTTAAGGCGCCCCCTCTCGGCAAGGATCTGAAATGCCTTGGACAAAGGCATGTAGAGAGCATGAAAGGTCCTGAGCCCCTGGGGCAGGTACTTCGGAGTCTGAGCACTCTTACTAGCTGCACAAGCAAAAGGGTCGGCAGGCGCCACCTTGGCTTTCTGATCTTTCCCGGGTGCAGGGGCGGGAACAAGAGGAACTGTTTTGGCATGACGGGGCCTATCTCGATTTTCTGACTGGCTTGAACTACCCTCAGGTGTAGTGGGGAAAGCATCCTCCACAGTTTTTACCACAACTGCGGATATCTGTTGCTTGTTCATTCCCCCAGCTTTCAAAGCCTCGGCTGCCCACAGCAGTTGTTCAATGGGATCGGCATCTGCCTTCATTTTGTCTTTTCCTCTGGCCTCAGCCTGATCGAGGGTTTGAGTTGATGTTGATATGTCGTTGCCATAGCTGGATGCCATCTCCGGTTGGCTAAGTTCAATCACAATTCGCCCCAACAGCGGGGGCTCCTGGGGTATAAAACTCCCGGCATACGGTGTGGCTGGTGGTGAAGCTGACATTCCATAGGCGAGATCTGCCACAGACCTTTGGAGATCACCTATCATCCCCATTAGCTCGAATGTAGTAAGCTCGCGAGCCTGGTATAGCTGGGAGGCCCAAACCGGATGCACAACAGGCGACCTGGGTGGATGTGACAAATCAGTGTTGGCCTCACTTTGCAGAGTGATCCCCTGCTCGATTGTGTCCCTAGTCTGGATGATTGTATATATTGTGCATACTGTTCTGTACTGTTTACGTATGTACGAATGCATGAAAAATCTTTTTGCATACAGACTGTCACAGCTCATTGGGCATTGTTTCTTTATTGTTTTGGCTTCCGCTAGGCCCTGTACTCTGTATTATTGTACTGCAGGCCTTCGGTAATCTCGGATTACTGACTAGGGACACAAGGTAATCTTCGGTAAGCTTATTGGGCATTGTTTCTTTATTGTTCTGCAGGCCTTCGGTAATCTCGGATTACTGACCGGTTACGGTGCTAAACCCATAGGGCCGGGTTTGGGTCGTGACAGAGTGGTATCAGAGCGATACTTAACCACGAGTCATACCGCAAACACGTGCCCAAATGAGCTATAGGGTGTCCTAGAAAAGTGATTAGGGCATTTCATGAACTTGAAAAGTGTGTGGCTATGTTATGACTGAATACATGTTGATGTGATAACTGTCTAAATATGCAACTGTTTATGTTACAATTGCTATAACTGTTATAACTGCTTATAGTGAAATGGACAATACAAATGAACCTGAATCCTCATCTACCGAGGCAAGAATGGAAAGAATGGAAAGAATGATGGAACTGATAACTGCTAGACTTGAACAACAACAGAACCAACAGCCCCCACCTCCTCCTCCTCCGGTACAGCCGGAACCTAATGCGAATGTGAATGATGGGGATATTATTGCTCTCACCCATAAATTCAGCAAGATGAAACCGCCATCCTTTCAGGGAGGACTGGAACCGCTAAAGGCTGAAGCTTGGGTGCTTGAAACAGAAAAACTATTTGAGGTGTTCCCGTGCTCAGAAGCGAATAAAGTATTGTTAGCTACCTTCACCCTACAAGAAGAAGCTAGAAGGTGGTGGATGCTCATCCGTGATGAAAATACCGTTCTGACTTGGGCTCAATTCAAAGGAGCCTTCTTTGAAAAGTATTTCCCTCAGTGTGTTAGGGATAGAAAAGTGACTGAATTTGAACAGCTGAAGCAGGGCACAATGTCCGTTGCGGAATATGAGACGAAATTCACCGAGCTTGCTAGATATGCACCGCATATGGTGGATACTGAATATAAGAAGGCCAGAAAATTTGAAGGTGGCCTTAATGTGGCAATACTTGACCGGATAAATGTTTTGAAATTACCGACTTTTGTGGGTGTTCTCGACCGGGCATTGATGGCCGAGTCAAACATTGAAGCACTGAAACTGAAACACCAACGTCGGAATGGCGTAGTAAAAGGCAGGGTTTTAAATTTAAGAAAGGCAAGCACAACCCAGCCAATAAGAAACAGAATACGGGGTTGGCAACTAGCCCCAGCCAAGGGAGTGGGTTCATACCACCCTGTTCTGAGTATGGCAAGAAGCACAAAGGGGTCTGCTACAAAATATCTGGAGCCTGTTACAGGTGTGGCAAGGTGGGTCACATGGTTAAAGACTGCCCCTCTGTTCCACAAGCCAGTAGTAAAGCTGCACCAAGCGTGGCAGCATCAATTGTAGCACCAAAGCCTAACCCCAAAGCTACCGGGAAAGAGCCTATGAGGTAGGGCCAAGTATTCGCCCTAGTACCGGGAGACGTGCAGAATACAGAGACCGTTGTGTCAGGTATCCTCTCTATTTGTACACAAAATGCATATGTATTGATTGATTCGGGGTCTACGCATTCTTATGTATGGCATGCTTTCTCACGGAAATTGAATAGACCCTTAGAACCCATGAACTATCTGCTAGCCGTATCATCACCCGTAGGAGGATCCATGACATGTGCTTATATGTACCCCGCATGTGAAATCATTGTTGGGGATATGCATCTGTTTATTGATTTACTACCATTGAACATTGATCATTTTGATGTAATATTGGGGATGGATTGGTTACAAAAATATCATGCCACTATTGATTGTGTGACCAAGCAAGTTGTTTTCCGTCCACCTGGTTTGCCTGAATTCGTGTTTAATGGGAGTGGAGTAGTACCTCCTCCGTATTTGATTTCGTCAGTGAAAGCCGTTAAATTAATTAGAAAGGGGTGTAAAGGATATCTGTGTTCTGTACTGACTGTGTCGACTGATGATAGTATTAAAACTGATGTGAATTGTATTCCTATAGTCAGAGAATTTCCAGATGTTTTTCCAGATAATCTTCCAGGAGATTTGACTGACAGGGAGATTGAATTTACCGTTGATGTGATTCCCGGAACACAACCAGTTTCTAAAGCTCCTTACAGAATGGCTCCAACTGAACTGAAGGAACTGAAAGTGCAATTGCAAGAACTGTTAGACAAAAAGTTCATCAGACCTAGCACTTCGCCATGGGGTGCTCCTGTTTTGTTTGTCAAGAAGAAAGATGGCTCCTTAAGGCTGTGTATAGACTATCGGGAGTTGAACAAAGTAACTGTCAAGAACAAATACCCACTATCCCCGAATAGATGACCTATTTGACCAACTTCAGGGAGCACAAGTGTTCTCCAAGATAAACCTTAGATCCGAGTATCAATAGCTAAAGGTCAAAGCAGAAGATGTAGAGAAAACAACATTCAGAACTAGATACGGACACTATGAGTTTTTGGTAATGCCCTTCGGAGTAACTAACGCACCTGCAACGTTTATGGACTTAATGAATAGGGTGTTTAAACAATTTCTAGATGAATTTATCATTGTGTTTATTGATGATATTTTGATTTACTCCAAAAGCAGGGGAGAACATGAACAGCACCTGAGAACTGCTTTACAGATTTTGAGAGAAAATAAGTTGTATGCAAAACTGTCCAAATGTGAATTATGGCTTGGCAGCGTAGCACTTTTAGGGCATGTGATTGATACAGATTGTATATCAATGGATCCACAGAAAATTGAAGCCATTGTAGACTGGCCAAAGCCAATCAATGTGTCTGAAGTTAGAAGTTTTCTGGGACTTACAGGCTATTATTGCAGATTTGTGAAAGATTTCTCTAAGCTTGCCTTGCCATTGACACAGTTGACACAGAAAAATGTACCATTTGGTTGGAATGATCAATGGAAGTCAGCCTTTCAAAAACTAAAAACTAGACTGGTAATTGCACCAATCTTGACCTTGCCTAATGGAACCGATGAGTTTTAGATTTACAGTGATGCTTCCTACAAAGGTCTAGGATGTGTTAATGCAGAATGGGAAGGTAATTGCTTATGCCTCTCGATAACTTCGTCTGCATGAAAAGAACTATCCAACACGTGACTTTGAATTAGCAGCTGTAGTGTTTTCCCTGAAGATTTGGCGACACTATCTGTACGGTGTGACTTGTGAAGTGTACACTGATCATAAAAGACTCAAATATTTCTTCACCCAAAAGGAACTGAGCATGAGGCAAAGACGATGGCTTGAGTTGATTAAGGATTACGACTTGCAAATCTTGTACCATCCGGAAAAAGCCAATATCGTTGCAAATGTCTTGAGTCGAAAATCTATTGGAAATTTGTCTTGTTTGCTCACCAGTCAAAGAGACTTATTATGTGGCTTGGAAAATAATGCTGTTCGTTTTGTTT